AAAATGATTATATATATATATATATATATATATAGAACAGGCAAATGAACCATTGTTCTAGATGTATTTTTCTACACTAAAAGGTAGGTAGGTATTTTAATTTCGTCGCGCATGAGTTGCGCATAGGGCTATTGGCGACAATCATGAAAACATTCCTGCGGGTAATAAAAAGACATGCCACCACAATTTTATCGGGCCACTTCCTTAATTTAGACATAGATCCGAAGGGGAAAGAACTTTTCTCAAGATTCCTGTATCCATGTTACGGCTCAATAACCCACCACAGGACTTCTGAGTTTACAGATTATACTAGCAAGTATTTTGCATGTTCTTAGTGGGTTGTAGTGAAATCGAGGATTGAACTCCTGCCCCTCCGAACTGGATTCCGATTCTGCAACCATGGGATACCACGCCCCTCTATGCTGGAAGACAAACACATTCGTACACTACACAGTGCTAGGCACACAATTGTCCAAGTTGACGAGGGGCTTAGTTCCTGCAGCACCACCACCTTAGTAGTGGTGTAGAGGGCCGTAGAATTGTACGCCGTAGTTTCCTCAGATCTCCAGCTCTTACAAATATGCAGGTAAGAAAGCGATCACCATAAAAGTTTTCGTTTGAAATGTAAAAAAAAAAATTACACAGCAGTGTTTTAATGTCTTACTATAATTAAACAGTCGTATACTATTTATATATAACATTTGATGTTATATGGTTTAATTTGGATTACGCATGTGTGATCCTCTTTATTGCAGATAGGAGTTTCAGCATCTATATCTCCCCTCTTGCTACAGTTACGCGTTTGTGCGGTATGAATTATTCATTAAATATATAAATCTCAATATTAGGAATGAGTACTCATTGCGTAGTTTATTGTATCTTGTAAAATTAGTTTTAATCGCAGGATAAAAGTGACTAACCTAAATCCTTCTACCATTTCTGTAAATTGAAATATATATTACAGTAGAGGAATCAAGGTTAGTTAATCGAAACGTTAAAGTCATCTACCGAATATTTCCCCGTTAGCTACTGATCGATGGTTTAGCGATCATTGGTCTAAACTAAAAATTTTCCTTTTTGACTGAACTCCGTTACTTTTTAATTCATATCACAGAAACTAATCATATAGATATGTATGTAACATCTCAACATGAGGATAAGAACTTTGCGTGGCTGACCCATATTGTTCAATTTACGAAATACCCCAACAGAAACTGGAATCTTTATTGAAAAATCACTTAACATATTAAAGATTTGGGAAACATTGGTCTTCTTTATGGGTGTAAAAGATCTTGAACTTGCTTGCATTCCGCAATATAAATAGTTTATTTATACTTAAAAAGAAGGAAAGAATTTTTTTTTAGATGTCAAGCAAATTCTAGGGCGCGCAAATCATAAGCGCTGTATTAAGAAAGACACATAAACACAGTTCTAGATTTAACAGTTCTTTTTTCTTCTTTCCGAAAACCCACTTTCTAACTCATAAATGTATTCTTAGAATGGGGGCGTTATGCCAGCCAAGCAATTGACGTGATTCTCACAACTGGGGAAAATGACAAAAATAGTTTATTTCAAGCAGAAACCAACCTTGACTCAGCTGTTTTCTCTCGCGTCTAATACTTTATCAGAACACATGTTTTTTAATTATCAGTAGAACTGAAACTATTGTAGTTTTCCTGGTAACTAACAACTGAGCGTTATGAGTAGTTACCGAAATAGGTATAACCATTATTTGGGCCCAACTCGAGATTATCTTACTTATGGAATATTTGATGACTCAAGCATAGTAAGTTTTTTATTTATTTATTCTTTTTTTTTAAATTTTAGCACATTTCTATCAGCGGGTTTTCGCCTTGAACTAAAATTTAATTCTTCTTTATCAACATCAATATTACCAGAAATTCTTAAACTAATTACCTGGTTGAATAAGTCAAGAATCAAGTGATATAAAGTGTTAAATGACATTCAGTAAGCACTCGATTTCCATCTCCAGTACCTTAAATTTGTTTTAGTAATTAATTCCGAAATTTACAAGTGCATATTGATATGTATTATGACATTTTAAAGAGTATCTGTTTACATTTTGCACGTAAAACTTTACAGATAAAAAGGTAGTCTAAAGCATTAACTGCATTTAACGGTTTACATGAAAATATATGACTGCTGAAAATATAATTTAGTAGACAATATTCTTATGAAAACTGTAAAGAACCAAATTATGTAAATAAAAATAGATATTTACTTAATTTAACCTTTTGATGCAGAATTTTTATGAAATATATTTTTCATAATTTATGGATTATTTTTTATTCATTTGGGTCAAAATAAGTGAAAAATATATTTAGAATTTTAATAATTAATGGTAACTAGTGGGCTGCGCCCCCTGCTCGCTAACGCTCGCCAACCCCCGAAAATTGCTGCGCAATCTTATATGGTTTGCTTCGCAAACCATATAAGATTGCGCAGCTTCGCTCTCGCTCGCTTCTCTCACTACTAACTTAGGTACATTGCAAATGCACAAAATTCTAAGAATTCAAGCAATCATTCAAATCCATATAAAAACTTTTTTTTTTTTTAAAGTTACATCTTTTTAGTAAATACTAAGTCATTAAAATAAATTTGAATTCAAATAAATGACATGTAATTCGTTAAACCTATTAGAAATGTGCTATAGTATAATTCGTGATATAAATCAAAAATCGTCAAATAAATTCGTAATACATAAATTCGTGAAAAAAAAGCGTTTTCGACAAAATACTAAAATAGAGATCTATCGACAAAGACTACTCACTTCTGCCTAGCTTAATAGTATGAGATTGACGCAGCTGATGCTCTCTGGTTATTTCAGTTTCCGTTTTTAAAAGCACTATATGTTGAGCCACCTCAGCTAGATTTGGTATGTGACATTTTTAGCGACAATCATTGGTTGATTCGCCGTGTAAGAGAAATAGTAACGTAAACAAAGCAAAGCAAACGTTGCCACCGGCGGAAAAGAAATACAGCCAAAACTTGGGAGCCACGTAAGAGAATTATATATATTAGATGATGTAAAAACATGAGACAGTTTCTAAAATGGTTCATTTCCAGGTAATATTGTTTTTAATTTACTCTCATTTGCAGTTATTTAAATAAAAAAGAAACGGTTATTTATCATTGAAATTTATTTAATTTACAAAATAATTTTTAATAAATTTTTAAAATGAGAAAAAAAAATCAAACTACTTTTTTGGATTTTATATTTTAGTACAAAATCTCTTTGATAATCTAACAGATATTTTTAGTAGTTTTTAGACTGTTTTTTACAATTTAAAAATACCAAAACTAATTTTTATTTGCAATTGGAATATCAGAAAAAAATATGTCAAATAGTTAAGAAAATATCACTTAATATTTGACCAGGACAACTTTGATGTTAACAGAATTGTGGAAAAAAGTTGCAGAATCCTTTTAATAGGAACAAAAATAAGATATATGTAATTACCTATATAATTTATAGGTACTTTATAATTCATAGGTAATATAAAAACATTTTATTGGTGTAAATTTATTCTTCATCTGAAATGAACAATATATTGTTAAAACAAGGGTAAAACATATCAATAATTTTCCATTGCCTTATTATCAATTACGCTCTGTTCTTATTTTCTTTTTAAACTGACTTCAATTTTCGCCGTATGCCGAAAGAAGAGACAAAACTGGTTTGTTTTTCATCAGGTTAATGAAATAATGAAAAATCATTCATATGTAAAGGACATGTGTTCCTTAAAAAAATAATAAGGGATCTACGCTCCTAGCGTTTCGCGACGATAAACAGATTGTAAAATTTAAATTAAAAAGTAATCGATTGAAAGATTCCAAAATGTCTTATTGAATAATCCTCTGTTTGATTCCACCGATTCAAGTCTTACTTATTACGAAAATTTTAACCTAATTATTTTGCTCAGTTTCCCTTGCAGCTTCATCATTTACAAATTTGTTTTTTAATTGCTATTTAATTTTTGGTTACTATAAAAGCGCTTTAATTATTTTTCCATCAAAAATAGTATTTAGCAACAGAGCGAAAAGTTAATTATTTAGAAGTTTCAATGATTGGTTTGTATTAATTATTTTAATTGCATACATTGCCTAAATATTGATCTAGATAAAATTTGTTATAAAAAATTTATTGTTTAATAAATGCAATATGCTAATTTAATGTGTTTAGCATAAAATGTTGCATAATTTCCCACGATTTTTTAAAAATACAATAAAGAGAAAACACTTTTAGCTTTAAGCCTTTAATTTTAAATAATGAGTCCCGCAGTGGACTGATCGTTAAGACACGGTTCTCAGCAGATCACCGAAGTCAAGCATCGCTGGCTGCGGTCAGTGTGCGGGTGGGTGACCACTTGGATCAGCCTGCGTAGGGACCGAGGGTGTGCGGTATGGGTCCTCGTTAAACTGTTCTACCGTAAAGTGCTCGATTTTGCGTGCATGTCGTCGGGATACCGAAGCGGGGGTGCCATCCCCTCTGCAGAGGATCAAAATTGCGATGGCATGTCTTCGGATCATCCTCAGGTATGTTTCCCAGACCATCGCCAATAGCCCATTGTGCAGCTCTAGTGCGACGTAAATGAACAACAACAACAACAACAATTAAATAATGAAAATCGAAATAAAATAATATTTTAAGTAATGAAAATCGAAATAAAATAATATTTTCAATTATGAAAATCGAAAACGTAATAATAATTGAGAAAAAATTAAAAAGGGATTTTTTGCTCTTGTTGTTGTCGTAGGCCATTAAGGCAAGGGGGTGCGATTGTTTCTGTTTTCCAGTGGCGCCATCTATGGCCAAGAATTCGACTTTTCCAACACCCATACGTCATACCCGTTTATAGGGCGAACCCATTCATACATCCATTCATTCATCCACAGATTGTAATTTTGATCTGAACAAGAGAACTATCAATCTCCAATTCAGTACCCCCAGAGGTCTAATTTATTATGGCCTCATATGGAAGACTTTGTGACCTGACAAATCTAAAGTGCACTTTACTACACGGAATTTAAAAAGGGATGATAAATAAATATTACTAATAAATTTCACTAAATGAGGGTAAATACCGTTACAACTTTTATGGCAAACTTGATGACAACCAAAGATAGCAGAATCTTCTTTGCTTATTAATGATCATAAAATGAATTATTTTTACCCAATGAGGACGCATGAAACTATAAGACGATTGTCTTTGATAGAAGAAAAATGACTTTATTGGTGGAAGGCAACAGAAAAGCCAAATTCATCAATGCGTGAAGGATACGTGATTTTTAGAATCCTAATCAAAAATGAAACTCAAAAAGTATGTACATGGGAGGTCTCAAAATACTATTTAACTGAGGAAAAAAACGGAAACGCTTTTGAAATTTGACAAATCTCAGAACAGGAAGGCGTAGGTAAAAAACAGTAAGACAGGTTTGATTGTAAGAGGAAACAGAATAATGTAGAAAGACGATTATTAGAAACACCTTCAAATTTTAACATCCAATTAAACCAGTTTTAATGTTTATTACATCTGCCTTACTCTACAGTAACTTGTCAGAATTTGATAGCGTTTCTATTCTGTCCGTCGCTTCAAATGTTAATTTGTGACTCCCGGTGATTTTTTTGGTTGAGATTCTAAAAATAAATATTAATTGTGGACATTGCATAGGACCATGTGTATTTATTTCCTGGCTTTTCCACTACCAACGAGCTGTAATTTTATAGTGGTTTTAATTAGTTGAAATTAAGGCCGGGGTAGCCTGGTTGGTAGGACACTGAGCCCATGTTCGTGAGTTCGTGTGTTCGAGACCCGCCGGTCGAAGACTCCCCGTGTAGTAAAGTGACTGATGCACGTTAAATCTGTCGAGTTGCAAAAGTCCTCCATGTTCCCATAACAAATCAATACCTCTGGGGGTACTGAATTGGAGATCGATCGTTCTCTGATTCAGGTTAAAATTACGATCTGTGGATGAATGAATGGATGTATGAATGGGTCCGCCCTATAAACGGGTGCGACGTATGGTGTGGCAGAAGTCGAATTCTTGGCCATAGATGGCACCACTGGAAAACAAGAACAATCGCACCCTCTCTGCCTAAACAGGCACACGTCAACAACAACAACACAATAGTTGAAATTTGATATTGAGCTTTTTCTTAACATAATTTTTTTCTAGTGATTTTAATTTTTTTTTAAATATTTATTTTTTCTTCCACTTGTTTAATTAATCTTTTTTTAAATTAGTATTTATTGCTCATGGGTTTATGAATAAAATGTTATGCAATATTGCATTAAATATTATATGATATTCAGGGAGTTTCATATTGATCACTTTTAATATATATCTTTAGGATCGTCAACTATTTATATTAAGTATTTGCATTGGAAGTCTCAAATTAATATTTATTCGAGAGTGAGACAAAAACGTTATATATGTATCCTCCAGCAATCAAACACCATTTTTGTTTTCAGTCGCGCTGTCTTCAGTAGTGATTTATTAAATTTTGATGGCATTTTTTATTTTATTTCTTTCCTATATATTAACATGCATATTTTTTTTAAACTTTGTTTTTGAAAACGAGCCAAAAAATGCATATTAAAGTTATCATTGCGGAACATCTGTAAATTATACTGCAAAAAATCTGTAACTTTCTTCGTTTTTGATGAAACAGTATCCTGGTATAGGTTTCGAGCAAAAATTTCGTTAAAAGGACGAATTACTTATCTTCACTTCTTTGAGGAAACGAATTTAGTCACAAGTAAAGAAATATATTGTCATTCTAGTTTCGATCATCTAGTCCTCATTCTAGTTCCGTCAATCTAATTAACAATCTATCACAATACACTACGATGAGGTTCAACATTTTTGTCATACATTTGAGAATTCACGTGACAAAATGATTATCAAAAAAGAGGAAATATAGATGACGGATTTGCTGCTTATTCATAAGTGAGAGTTTTTTTAAGAAGTGTGTGGTATTCATTAGCTACATTTATATATAAATAATTTTTGTCCTGTTATTAATGGTGAAGATAACTTCTGTTACAGGTTTAATTCTCAGTCATATTAGGCTCTGTTACATACAAGTAATACATAAAGCTCTGTTTTGTGTTTTTCTACAAACTTTATTTTTACTTAAAAAATGAAAAAATAAAAGAAAATAGGCAATATTATGTATTAGAGAGATTTGTATACTTTAAAATAGCAAAGAAAAATAAATAATTTTAAATGAAGAAAATGTGATCGCTGAAAGGAGATCACAGGTTACTCATTGGCAAAATGGTGGTTGTCTAATTTTTTAATAAAAACAAAAATATCGTTCAAGTGATGAAATTCTCGTTTATTCACAACTCAAGAAGCATTTATGGGATCTCTCTGGTCCCATATCTCAAAAATAAATTAACCATCTTAATGCATAAAAAAATTGAAAGTGAAAAAAAAAAGAGTTGTGAAAACATTATCGAACAGCAGCGGTCGCCATATTTGAATTTGAATAGTGACACGACCCACCCTATTTGTGTAGGGTTTACGTCAAGCAGAAAATGTACAATAAATAGAAATATAAGTTACAGAAGTACCCAAAGGGGCAAACAGACAGTCAAAAGACCATAGTAATAAAATCAAACACAATAAAATCACAATGTAATAAAGTCGAACACAAAAAAGTTAAAATTACTGAGAAGTTAAACACCATCGTAATGGAAAAATGCAGGTAAAACCGATATAAAGAAATTGTAAACAGTTGACAGTGATAAAAACCCCCCATGAAAGCGTAAAATCAAGCCCCAGTAGAAAAGACGAATGACAAATAATGTGTAACATAAAATCATTAAAGAAAAAACATTAAAAATGGAATAAAGTAAACATTAAGTTAAAAGCCGATGGACTGCCCGGGTCTTATTGCCTGTCTCCGAGTACATCTTCCAGTGTCTGTTTAATAATGGAGATGATAATTTTTCTGCAGGCCAAATTGGCAAAACATTGGTGTTGATTAAAATTGGTAAAGTTATTGTCACGAAGTGTCCGGAATTGGGAACAACTAAAAATTAAATGATCGATTGTCTGTTGTTCCCCACAGTAATTGCATTGAATGTTTTTATTAAAAAGTCTATTTTGATGTTCTCCGAACACTCCATGACCCGTTAAAAATTGGTTAAAATAAAAATTTGCCTGCAGTCTGTTTAGTTTTGGTTCCTTGAAGAATTTAAAAGTTTGCCTGCCCTTCCCGGAACTCTGCCACTCCCGCTTCCAGCGACTCATATTGTGTGATTTGACCACGGTTTTAATTTGGGCATTGGAACTGGGGACTTCAATTGAGATGTTGCAGTCACTCGTGGCTTCTTTTGCTGCCCGATCCGCCTCCTCGTTGCCTTGAATGCCCACATGGGCTTTGACCCAATTGCAATCAATGTTGTCATGCCAAAGAAGTTTTATCTCTTCCACAAGTTTTGAAATAGGCTTTGGATTGTTTAGTGCTTGCAACGAGGACAGCGAATCGGAGTAGATGGTTGCCCTGGGATAATTCATGTCAGAAAGCCATGAAATTGCCTTTTTAATTGCCACGAGCTCTGCAACATAAACGCTAGAGTTATTGGTGAGTCTGATGGAGGCCACCTCAATAGTCTCACCATCCAGTTTCACAATCATGCCAGAGCCTGTTCTATATTCCTTATCGTTAGTATTGGGGTTGGCGACCTCCATCCTCGAACCATCAGTAAAAATTTCAAGTCCCGTATTGGTTGGTAGAGACTTACCGTAGGGAACAGAACGAAAAGTGGATGGGTGAAGCCTAGATGGAGGACAGTCAGGACGTGCAGCCTGTAAAACAGCCCTAATATCCTAGTCAAAGTCTTCCAGTCGCCACTGCCACCTAAGTCGTTTGACACAAATATAATTAATTATTTTAAGGTGAATAGGCTCCACCCCCTCCAGTATCTGGAGGGCCTCTGTGCTGGTAGTTGCATAAGCTTTAGTTATGAGTATTAGCGAGGACCTTTGGATGGAATTTAATTTTTTATTGATCCTATTAGTATTACGATACCAGACACTGGCGGCATATAAAATAATGCGTTCTGTGGCCCGCAGGTAGATGGTTTTAAGTATTTTTGGCTTAAGTCACCAGGTCGCCCTGGCCACCCTTTTAATAAGATTGTTAAAGTTTCCTACTCTCTCCTTGACCTGGTTAAGATGAGGTATCCAGGTCAAGCCTTGGTCAAGTAAAATACCCAGGTATTTAAGAGTTTGGACCTGTTTAATTGAATATGTATGATTATTGCTCATTTTAATATTCGGTCGCCATAGCAACGCATGCGCACAGTTTACTATTATTCTTGAATACAATTAAAAAGTGTGATGACATTCAAATAATGCATAAAATCTAAATTGCGCATAGATTCTGCTATTGGACGACCGGTGTAGTTTGCATCAAAATATGTGTTAGTCTTAAAACAAATATCTTGAGTATTGTCAATTCTTTTTTCTTCTTAAAAGGAACGAAGGAGACCTGTTCCACAAAAGATTGGAGTTTTACGGGATGATCAAAAACCCAGACCATTCTATATGTGTCCTTGCCTAGTGGAAGCTGCGGAGGCTAAAAGGACTTTTTCTGTTGACGATGAAGACTCTTACTTGCCGAAATTCGTAAACACATACAGAAGACCCCTTTGCACACCAGACGATTTGCTAAAAATCATTCGAAAGCCAGAAGGACATTTCCAGTTGCCCACCGAAGCTTACAACGAAGTTTTCCCTGACATTTATTTAGGAGATGCGTGAGTACTAAATTAATCAAAATTTTTATTTAACAATTGTTTAATATCGATAAAACCTTAGATAATGAATAAGGCTGTATTGGGCATTAGTTTTTTGAGGACAGGGTATAGATGCGCTGTCGGAGCCAAGTGACCATAAGACCATAATCTTCGATGAGTGGAAAAATTTTGGTTAAATAATTCACTCTTCAAGAGAAATTTTATCCGCTTTCTCTCCATAGCTAAATGAGGAAGATGTTTAATTGATAATAAAATTATTTGATTTTACTCATTAATACCAATTTTTTTCCCTCCAACTTGTTAAGCAACGAACTTATAAGATATGTCACGTATCTGTGAATAGATTTTCTCTTAACCCACTCATCATTGCTTATTCATCAATGTTCAACTCATCAATTGTTATAGACGAATAAACGAAATTAATTTCTCATATTCATAATGATATGCTCATACAAAAGAGTCACAAAAGTTTACATGCATTATCTGTGAGAACAGCACTTTTGCGCCGGTCAGAGGAAAATTTCATATATCGAGTCTGTTAAGGTAACGTTTTTAGAGACCAAAGTAAAAAAAGAAGTAGCTAACCGGTTTGGTTAGCGTGATATTTTTTAAAGGAAAACATGAAAATCACGCTATTATTTAATGTTATTTTAAAATTTCAAAAAGCATTAAAATGTGGAAAATGTCAATCAAATGCTGATTATGTGATTTTGCCCAAGAAGCATTTTTTTCCATGTAAGATTGAGTACAGGAGATTTAAAATTTTGTATGAGTAAAACAATAACACACATCTCAGTTTTATTAGTTTTACTGTTAATATACATTTTAAGGATTCAAATAATTGGATTACGAGCAAAATATGAGTAAGAGAGATTTAAAAATTTGCATAAGTAAAACAATAACGCACATCTCAGTTATATTAGTTTTATTGTTAATAAGCATTTTAAGGATTCAAATAATTGGATTATGAATAAAATAAACATGAATAGCTTAAAACATTTAATTTTAAATAATTATTAAACAGCACTTAATGGGGAATTGGATATCAAGTTGTCTATAATAGGATAAATTCTTGAAGATTGTTACAAAATTAGATGCTTTAGGTATGTATCACTGTAGAACGATGATTTGGTATCATTATGTTCACTAAAAAAAACATTTGCTCTAAAATTTATGTTGGTCCATACCTACGACAATATCTGAGAGTAAGATCGGGCTGAGAGTAAAGCTGTTTTTGGTATGAATGTCCAAAATTCAAGATATTTCAGATTACTTACATGTGAAATGAAGTTCTTTATATTTGTAATTTAAATTTCGTTTTCTTATTATTGCATGCATATTAAATTATTTTCTGCAATTCCGGTGTATTTAAATTAGAATGAATTTTATTTTGCATTCTACTTTATAAAACGAAAAATTATATGAAAATCAACTTTTTACCTGTAATGCGGATTGCACAGTCTGCGTTTTAAAATTGTTAGGTCCTTTTTTTTTTCTTTTTCAAGACAAACAACGATTCAACAAGCATACTAAATTATAATTTTTTGAAATTGCTATGTATTTAAAATCAAATGAAGTTTTTCTTGAAGTTTGATTACTTGCTTTCTTTAGCTTGACTGCCATGTCCATAGCCTTGTTGAAGCGACTGAGAATAACGCATATCTTGAATGCTGCCCAAGGGGATGGCCGGAGTAGCGGCTCTATCAACACTTCTGAAGATTTCTATGTACCCCAGGGAATACAGTATCTTGGAGTACCAGCTGTTGACAATACAACATACAGAATACACCATCACTTCGAGGACGCGGCTGATTTTATAAGTGACGCTCTTAAACATGGAGGTTGGTATTTCTGTTTTTTTCAGTGACATTTTTCAGCAATAATTTCATGTATAAATGACAGACCTTATATTTAATTTATCACAGCAGACAAACATCTGATTCATATAAAAATTTTGAGTCTTAAGAGTAAATATTGTATGTTTTTACTGGTACAATGTCAACATGCGCTCTGTTAAAGTGCCAACTCTTCTGGTTGGAGAAATGGATATTAGTGTTTTATCCTGAAAATAAACAACAGATCCGGATTGTATTAAAATTACGTATAGTGCGACTTTGAGGAGAACTCCTCCAGACTGAAAGTCTGCTATGGTAACAAGCTAGAGCACATCTCTAATGGGGATGAAATGGAGGAAAGAAGGTGACAACTGGCTTGCTCACACAGACCTATGTTAAGATTAAGACAAAACTATCGCCCCTGCCCCCCTATTCGAAGTTACTTTTCCTCGTTACCATAGTAACCGCCACGACGCTAGACGGATGTCTAGAGGAGTTCTCCTGAAAGCCGCACTATACTATGATTTGGTGTTGAAGTCAGATGGGCAGAGCAGATCAGAAGTCGATCATCTCACCTAACCTTGATCAAAATTGCAACATGTGCCTTCTCTGGTCGGGGCAAATATAGAGCTGCAATTTAATGCATAGACTAAGGAAGATAGAGTAGGATAGAGAACCGCACTAAAAGCCTTAATCCCATGATAGGTTGCTTTTTGACACGGTTAGATATGATGATTATGACACTGTGCTAACGAATGAGATTTTCTGGTCAGAAATAAATTGTTAATTAAAACTTCTGTGCAGAGAAAATTTTTTAGGTAATATATTTGGTAGATATGATATTTGAGTGAACAATAAATGCAAATAGAACGCTTTTGACCTTTTTTAGTACGCATTGAAAGATTTTTGCAGGAGCTCCTGTTTATTAAAAACAATTATTTATGGGAGCTGATTTTTGAGTTAAATTTTATTTGTTACTTTGCCAATATACGAAATATTTGTTGGCAGGCATATCCTTCAAACACTTCATTTGAAATTTTGTTTCAGTCACTTCGCCAACGTGCAAGATACCAGAATTAACCTGATGGACAATTAAGTTAAAACCCTGCAACACAAAAGTTGCCGATGAACATTCAATTAAACTCAATAAAAATTACCAGATCTTCGGCAGAGCCATCCACAACTTAATCGAATCTTTTAAATATATATGAGCAATAATTTACTGTCAACAACTGCTCGAAAGGTGTGAGACTCATATAACCGGAACCTAATCAAGAAGAAGTGTTTTCGCCATATAGGAGATTCAGTTCGACGGATTTGTATTACAGCCCGGACATATAATATATTTATTTTATCATCCCAGACATGTAATATATTTTTTGGGGAATAGTAGGGGCTTACCGACCATGAAAAGTGGTACAATGCGTCATGCATGAACAATTAAGAAATAGGATTTGTATAGGTTTTTACGAAAGGATTCCTCTGTAGTATATTGTAAATATTTTTGTAATAAACGAAAAAAAAATCACAATAGTGACCGGAAATTAATATTTATCAGAATAAAACTGCTGCGTAAGTGAAAAGAACGCAGCAAGCTTGGAGCAAACATTTTCCAAAACCATTTCGAGCAAACGAGGAATTAAAATCATCAAAAACTAGCTTATTAATCTAATGAGACTAGCCTGGAATGTGTTCGCTTTATCCTTAAAGATACTCATAGAAGTGCATTTCAGTCTCAACCTCAAACAAACTATTTTTTTTGAAGTTTTCAACCTCCCTTTAAACACCCTTTAGTATTTAAATAATACAGAGTAAGTCAAAATAAAAGCTCAAATTTCATAGGTGTACTACGCAACATGCAATAAATATATTAATTAAAAATGCACATACACGCAGAGGTTATACAGGTATAAGTAAGTTTTGAATAGTCGTCAATGGATGGCGCTGGAGTTCCAATGGTCGTCAGCGTTTGAGTGAAAACAAAACTGGCAGAAAAACAACGCTTTCAATAAACCGTTACCTCTACAATAAATTGGTATCGTGCACTCCTGCCTTGCAGGTCACCATGATCCCCAGACCTCAACCCATGTTATTTTTCTTTCCTGTAGGGGTTCGCAAGAAATTGAGTGCATGTGATTGTAGGTCCAAAAACCTTGACTAATTTGAAACCATTTATCATAGCTGTTATCACCAGCGTAGTCACAGACATACTGCAAAAAGTATCACAAAAATTACATTTCTGCCTTAAATATCAAATGGAGCAAATATCAAGCATTTGTGACAAGTACATTGAAAACTTACTGGCATTACTTCTGCATAGATATGCACTATTAATGAATACATTTGTCAGGACTTCAAAGATTAAAATTTAGCAAGGCTGACAAAAGCAAGAAAACTTATGAAATGATGAAACACGCAACGCCAATCTGAAAAACGCAGCGTGTGAATTATATTTTTATTCTTAATTTGTTTTAGAACAAAACAAGACTGGTTTTTGTTTTAAGAGATGGTAAATTGTTTTGGATATGCTTAATAAAAGACTATATTTTTTAATTGTCTTTTTTATTTTCCAAGTGAAATAAATCAAATTTTTAATTAAATCATTGATGAAATCACTCGCTCAGTTACCTGACAACATTTATTACATTTTGCGTTGTGTATCTATGAAATCGGGTAATTCATTTGGATTCACCCTGTATATGTCACATTTCGATCTGCCATTTTTAAATTAACATAATAATTATCGAAACAATTTATTTCCATTCGGCAAATCTCCTGTTTATCATTTTTTTCTTCTTGCTTTAGGTAAAGTGTTGGTTCACTGCCAGGCTGGAATCAGCAGATCAGCCACATTGATTTGCGCATTCCTGATGATAAAGCATAAAATGTGTGTGGAAGATGCGGTGAAGATAATTCGAAAAAAGCGAGCTATCATTCCAAATAAAGGCTTTCTCCAACAACTCTGCGATCTTAATGATAAACTGAAACGGCAAACGAATTATTGAACATTTCCTAACAATTGATAAGTAAATAAGAATAAATAAATAAGTAATGTTTCGAAAATTTCAATAACATTGTAACTAAATGTAAATTCTTTTATGATCTATAGGAAGAAAAATTAATGAATAAGTATTTTTTTTTAGCTTTTTGTTATTGTTTATCAGTTACTGATTTTCAGATAAGTGAAAATTTCATTTAATGCGAAAGTTTTTAGATGAAAATGCAAATGTAAATAACTATATTTTATTCACTAAGTGTTGAGACAATTTCTTTTATAGCTGTGTTGAGTTTTACAAAAGTGTAATTTTACTATGCATTATGAAGTAAATGTTTCCTAAATGATGTCTTTTACTTTTGCAAGCAAGCTATCTAATTTGTTAGTTCAACCCGATAAATTATCAATTTAACAAAATACAAATAAATAAACAAAATGCATATTTGTAAAAACGTAAGTGTAAAATATAACAAAATTTCAATTATAGGAAACATGAAATTTTAATTAAATAATTTTCGTGAAATTTTAATTAATGAAATAGTGCGTTGAAATTTTTAAAAAAGGCATTTTTATTGTTGTAAACTAAATTATTTATCAATGTATTTTATATTTATGCACACTCGTGTGTCACACTATTAGTGATCGAATTTTTTTCAACAATTAATAAATAAAAAATAAATCTAGATGAAAATGTAAGCATATATTTTATTGTTGTAAGCTAAATTATNATGTATCAGTGTAGAACGATGATTTGGTATTATTATGTTCATAAGAAAAGCATTTGCTCAAAAATTTATGGTAGTCCATACCTACGACAATATCTGAGAGTAAAGTTGTTTTTGGTATGAATGTCCAAAATTCAAGATATTTTAGTTTACTTGCATGTGAAATGAAGTTCTTTATATTTGTAATTTAAATTTCGCTTTCTTATTATTGCATGCATATTGAATTATTTTCTGCAATTCCGGTGTATTTAAATTACAATGAATTTTATTTTACATTCTACTTTATAAAACGAAAAATTATATCAAAATCAACTTTTTACCTGTAATACGGATTGCATAGTCAGCGTTGTTGGGTCCTTTTATTTCCTTCTTAAGGCAAACAACGAGTCAACAAGCATACTAAATTATAATTTTTTGAAATTGCAGTGTATTTAAATTCAAATGAAGTTTTTCTTGAAGATTGATTACTTCATTTCTTTAGCTTGACTGCCATGTCCATAGCCTTGTTGAAGCGACTGAGAATAACGCATATCTTGAATGCTGCCCAAGGGGATGGCCGGAGTAGCGGCTCTATCAACACTTCTGAAGATTTCTATGTACCCCAGGGAATACAGTATCTTGGAGTACCAGCTGTTGATAATACAACATACAGAATACACCATCACTTCGAGGACGCGACTGATTTTATAAGTGACGCTCTTAAACACGGAGGTTAGTATTTCTGTTTTGTCAGTGATATTTTTCAGCAATAATTTCATGTATAAGTGATAGACCTTATATTTAATTTATCACAGCAGACAAACATCTGATTCATATGAAAATTTTGAGTCTTAAGTGTAAATATTGTATGTTTTTACTGGTTCGATGTCAACATGCGCTCTGTTAAAGTGCCAACACTTCTGGTTGGAGAAATGGATATTTGTTTTCAATCCTGAAAATAAACAACAGATCCGGATTGTATAGAAAGTACGTATAGTGCGGCTTTGAGGAGAACTCCTCCAGACTAAAAGTCTGGGGTTGTCTTCTGCTATGGTAACAAGCGAGAGCACAGCTCTAATGGGGATGAAATGAACGAAAGAATGTAACAATTGGTTTACTCACGCCGACCTATGTCAAGATTAAGACAAAGCTATTCACCCCACACCCCTATTCGAATTGACTTTTCCTCGTTACCATAGTAACCGTCACGACGCGAGACGGATGTCTGGAGGAGTTCTCCCTGACCGCACTATAGTATGGTTTGATGTTGAAGTCAGATGGGCAGAGCAGATCAGAAGTCGATCATCTCATCTAACCTTGATCAAAATTGCAATATGTGCCTTCTCTGGTTGGGGCAAATATAGAGCTGCAATTTAATGCATAGACTAAGGAAGATAGAGTAGGATAGAGAATCGGACCGAAAGCCTTAATCCCATGATAGGTTGCTTTTTGACACGGTTAGGTATGATGATCATGACACTGTGCTAGCGAAAGGGGTTTTCTGGTCGGAAATAAATTGCCATTTAAAACTTCTGTGCAGGTGTGTTTTAGGTAATGTATTTGGTAGATATGATATTTGCGTGAACAATAAATGCAAATAGAACGCTTTTGGCCTTTTTTTTAGTACGCATTGAAAGATTTTTGCAGGAGCTCCTGTTTAATAAAAACAATTATTCATGGGAACTGAATTTTAAGTTAAATTTTATTTGTTTCTTTGCCAATATACAAAGTATTTGTTTTTTCAGGCATATCCATCAAACACTTCATTTGAAATTTTGTTTCAGTCATTTTCGCCAACGTTTAAGATACCAGAATTAACCTGATGGAAAATTAAGTTAAGTCCCTGTAACACAAAAGTTTCCGATGAACATTCAATTAAATTCAATAAAAAATTACCAGATCTTTGGCAGAGCCATCCACAACTTAATCGAACCTTTTAAATACCTTTGAACAATAATTTACTGTCAACAGCAGCTCGAAAGGTGTGAGACTCATATAATAGGAACCTAATCAAGAAGTGTTTTCGCCATATAGGAGATTTAGTTCGACGGATTTATATTACAGCACGGACATATAATATGTTTGTTTTATCATCCCAGACATGTAATATATTTTTTGGGAGAATAGTAAGGGCTTACCGACCATGAAAAATGGTACAATGCGTCATGCATGGACAATTAAGAAATAGGATTTGTGTAGGTTTTTACGAAGGGATTCCCCTATAGTATACTGTAAATATTTTTGTAATAAATAAAAAAAAAATCACAATAGAGACCGGAATCTAATATTTAACAGAGGAAAGTAAACAAAACGCAACAAGCTTGGACCAAACATTTTCAAAACCATTTTGAGCAAAAAAAGGGATTAAAATCATCAAAAACTAGCTCATTATTCTAATATCCTCTCATTATTCTAAGTCAAAATAAAGTTCCAAATTAATGGGTGTACTACGCAACATGCAATAAATATATTAATTAAAAATGCACATACAAGCAGAGGTTTTATAAGTAAGTTTTGAATAGTCGTCAATGGATGGCGCTGGAGTTCCAATGGTCATCAGCGTTTCAGTGAAAACAAAACTGGCAGAAAAACAACGCTTTCAATAAACCGTTACCCTAACTATAAATTGGCAGCGTGCACTCTTGCCTTGCAGGTCACCACGATCCCCAGATCTCATCCCATGTTATTTTTTTTTCTGTAGGGGTTCGTAAGAAATTGAGTGCATGTGATTGTAGGTCTAAAAACCCTGACTAATTTGAAACCCTTTATCACAGCTGTTATCACCAGCATAGACACAGAAATACTGCAAAAGGTATAGCAAAAATTACTTTTCAGCCGCGAATATCAAACATTTGTGAGAAGTACATTTTATTTTATTTTACATTATAACCGTCGTTGAGCAGCCGACCCAATCTTATGGGTTTACGGCTACTAATGTTCAACTTCGTAGCCTTGCAATTTTGAACCCAATTCAGAAGATAAGGGAACTCCTGGATCGAGTATTGGAAGAAATTCGCCTTCGTGGAGAACTTTTTGATGGAGCTAACCCGCATTTGCTTTACATGGAGAGGAAGATCACGAGAACCTCCTACGGTTAGCCTGACGGCAAGGGGACTCTAACTCATGATCCGTCTACCACTGAGGATATTTAATGTTAACACTGTGGGCGGTGCAAGCCGAATGCGGAATTCGTATCGACTGGGATTCGAACCCGGTCCGCCTCATTGGAAGGCGAACGCTCTATGAAGAAATCACTCTCCCAGTTCCCTGACAACATTTATTATATTTTGCGTTGTGTACCTATGAAATCGGGGTATTCATTTGGATTCGCCCTGTATATGCAACATTTCGATCTCCCATTTTTAAAGTAACATAATAATTATCGAAACAATTTATTTCCGTTCTGGTAAATCTCCTGATCATTGTTTTTTTTATTGTTTTAGGTAAAGTGTTGGTTCATTGCCAAGCTGGAATCAGTAGATCAGCCACATTGATTTGCGCATTCCTGATGATAAAGCATAAAATGTGTGTGGAAGATGCGGTGAAGATAATTCGAAAAAAGCGAGCTATCATTCCAAATAAAGGCTTTCTCCAACAACTCTGCGATCTTAATGATAAACTGAAACGGCAAACGAATTATTGAACATTTCCTAACAATTGATAAGTAAATAAGAATAAATAAATAAGTAATGTTTCGAAAATTTCAATAACATTGTAACTAAATGCAAATTCTTTTATAATCTATAGGAAGAAAAAATAATGAATGAGTATTTTTTTTAGCTTTTTGTTATTGTTTATCAGTTACTGATTTTCCAATAAGGGAAATTTTTATTTAATGCAAAATTATTAGGTGAAAAATACAAATGTAAATAACTATTTTTTATTCACTAAGTGTTGAGACAATTTCTTTTATAGCTGTGTTGAATTTTACAAAAGTGTAATTTTACTATGCATTATGAAGTAAATATTTCCTAAATGATGTCTTTTACTTTTGCAAGCAAGCTATCTAATTTGTTAGTTCAACCCGATAAATTATCAATTTAACAAAATACAAATAAATAAACAAAATGCATATTTGTAAAAACGTAAGTGTAAAATATAACAAAATTTCAATTATAGGAAACATGAAATTTTAATTAAATAATTTTCGTGAAATTTTAATTAATGAAATAGTGCGTTGAAATTTTTAAAAAAGGCATTTTTATTGTTGTAAACTAAATTATTTATCAATGTATTTTATATTTATGCACACTCGTGTGTCACACTATTAGTGATCGAATTTTTTTCAACAATTAATAAATAAAAAATAAATCTAGATGAAAATGTAAGCATATATTTTATTGTTGTAAGCTAAATTATTTATCAATGTATTTAATATTTATGCACACTCGTGTGTCACACTAATAGTGATCGAATTTTTTTCAACAATTAATCAATAAAAAATTAATCTAGATAAAAAAATGTAAGCATATATCTTATTGTTGTAAGCTAAATTATTTATCAATGTATTTTATATTTATGCACACTCGTGTGTCACACTATTAGTGATCGAATTTTTTTCAACAATTAATCAATAAAAGAAAATCTAGATAAAAATGTAAGCATATATCTTATTGTTGTAAGCTAAATTATTTATCAATGTATTTTATATTTATGCACACTCGTGTGTCACACTATTAGTGATTGAATTTTTTCCAACAATTAATCAATAAAAAATAAATCTAGATGAAAATGTAGGCATGGAATATAATGAATTAAAACCTGTGCTCAGGAAGACCTCCATAACCGTGTTTCCGAAAAGTCCTGAAAGAATGCCATACCCGAATTTGTGCAATGGCCAAGACGGAGCAGTGTCTTAATTCCGCCTATCTACCGGACACGCCTAAGAAACCATCTTTATAAATTTTATTTTATTTTATAACCGTCGTTGAACAGCCGACCCAATTTCATGGGTTTACGACTACTTACGTTCAACTCCGTAGCCTTGTAATTTTGAACCAATCCAGAAGACAAGGAAACTCCTGGATCAGTACCCCCAGAGGTATTGATTTGTTGTGGGAACATGGAGGACTTTGAGACTCGACAGATTTAACGTGCATCAGTCACCATTTACTACACGGGGAGTCTTCGGCCGGCGAGGATCGAACCCAGCGCCCTACCGACCAGGCTATCCCGACCCCCATCTTTATAAATTCAAAATTGTTCCTTATCCGATACGCAGTCTGTGCATGGACTCCGCACATCTATTCCACTGTTCTGCTCTGGGTAAGACTTTTCTCGCAGAGCGTTATTGGGAGGCTAGGATGTTAGATTAATGAACTCTGTTTCAACGTTTTTTTTTTACTCTGTGTTCTTTCTTTTTGCTTATTTTCTGCTGTAACTGTTCATAATCTGCGATTAGAAATTAAAAAATGTATATATGTAATGAATTTTAATTGATTAACTACGTAAAATAAATATTCTTATTTTACACATGTTAATATAAATTTATATCGTTATTAAATCATGCTAATATATAAAAAATGAACTTTTAATTTTAGTAAGTGATTCATTAATTAATGATAACTAAATTTTTGGCATATTCAGATGCTACTTATTTACTCATTGCCCACGACAACAGCAACAACTCCACATATGACGTTTAAAAGCTGTTTAATTGTTTGTAAGCCATCAACTGCCGTTAACGTCATGAATCACATGTGTAGGTATCCGTGTTCTTCGTCTTCTTGAAGTGCAAGTACCCAATTGTAATATTTTTCTTTCATAACAACAAACCGAATAAATACAGGTGATATAAATATGTGTATTTGAAGAAATAAATGAATGTAAATTTCGTATCACTCGTAATACTCATTGTTAAATTTATGTATCGGATACCTGAACTTAAAAAATATTTAAAAAAAACATAACAGAAAATTATTGCCGTTCTCGATACAAGTTAAAACGGTAATTAGTGTGAAGTCTATTAAAAACAACGGCGTATCGCATATCAAATTTTCTAAAATTATAATTCTATTTTGTCTACATTTTTTATTTTACCTGGATTTATTATTTGCTTATGTATCGTTGAGTAGGTAGTTTGTTTGTACCCCACGTGGCTTTGCGTCTGTCTTTGCTCTAAGTAAGGGATAAACAAAATCTTTTTGTGAAATATTGTAGAATCTGTCAGAATTGATATAATACGAATTCATATAAGATGGAAGAGAATTCATATGATACGGGCTAGGTTTATTCGAAACAGAATGTCAAAAACAGCTATTGCTAACATAAGCAAGTGCCGCGTTTCAACGGCTAATCAGAATCGGTACGCACGCTGATGTCACTTGCATGTTTATAATTGTTAATTTATATTTATTTATTGACAAGCAAACATAATTATATTTTTTTGCGGACATATTTTGCTAAATGCGTATGGTAATACGTTAGCTACAACAGGCAAACATCAGTATGATATAATTTCTAATTAAGGGTAGACATAATTCGATTCCATTTAAAAATTTGAATTGCGTTACGTTATTAATATATATATATATANAACAAAATGGCGGCTGAAATATGGCGAGCAAAAATAAAAAATATATAGTACGTTTAAATAATTAAATACAGCAATGAAAATATGATAATTTTCGCAATTTTATATTAAAAATGAAAAGCAAATTATATTTCCGAAGTAATATTAAAAAATAACGCGAATTAATTACAAAATAACGCGAAAGCATGAAAAAAAAAAACATAATTTTTGTTTTTCGGTATATTTAGTCCACCTTCTCAATACGGGCAAAATGGGGCAGGTTTTTTTTCGACAGAAGAAACATCAAAGAAGACAACAAGAAAAAAGTTTAGCAAATTACCTTGTGGAACTTTTCGAAAGTCATTGTAAAATGTCAAATGATAAGCTATAAGTTTGTCGAGAGTATTAACTAATCCAACAAATGGAAAAATTGTACTATAATTTTAGACTAATTACTCTGATAAAAATGTAACAGTAAGGTGAAATTTCTATATATATTTCTGATATAAAAATTTAAAAGTTACATTTAAAAAAAAATTAACCTATTTTTCATTGCATTGTACTCTCGTCGGTCCAAAAAGTAAATTATAATTGGAATAATTATGAATACTTAATTTGGGCTATATTAGAACTGCCTACGCATATTTTAGTTGAAAATTTAATTTTGAAGGATTATGGTCTTCTGGCCCACAGTGCGGCGAAGAGCAGTGACTTAATTCCGCCTAGCTACCAGGCATGTCTGCCTAAGAAACCATCTTTATAAACTCAAAATTGTTCCTTCCCCGATATGCAGTCTGCGCAGCTCTGGAGAGATCATGAACTCCGCACATCTACTCCACTGTCCTGCTCTGGGTAAGACTTTTCTCGCAGAGCGTTATTGGGAGGCTAGGATGTTAGATTAATGAACTCTGTTTGATCACTTTTTATTGTACTCTGTGTTCTTTCTTTTTACTTATTTTCTGCTGTAACTGTTCATGATCTAAGATTGGAAATAAAAAAAATATATGTGATGAATTTTAATTGATTAACTACGTAAAATAAATATTCTTACTTTACTTATGTTAATATAAATTTTTTATCATTATTAAATCATGTTAACATATAAAAAATGAACTTCTAATTTTAGCAAGTGATTCATTAAATAATGATGACTAAATTTTTGGCATATTCAGATGATACTTATTTACTCATTACCGCCCACGACAACAACAACAACTTATTTACTCCATATATGACGTTTAAAAACTGTTTATAAGCCATCAACTGCCGTTAGCATCATAAATCACATGTGTGGGTATTCGTGATCTTCTTCTTGAAGTGCAAGTACCCAATAGCAATATTTTTCTTTCATAACAACAAACCGAGTAAATACAGGTGATATAAATATGCGTATTTAAAGAAATAAATAAAAGTAAATTTCGTATCACTTGTAATACTCATTGTTAAATTTATATATCGGGTACCTGAGCTTAAAAAATATATCGACAAACATAACAGAAAATTATTGCCTTTACCAACTTTAAATAGGAAATTTTCTGCTAGCTCAATGTATAACGTTTGCGCGAAGGTGTATAAGCGCAAGTAATAAGTGTCACGCCTCAAATTGGGTATTAATTGGTTGCAACTCAAGAAGAGGATCACTGATACACAGACACCTGACCCATATATCCTCAGTGCTAGCTGGTTGATTATAAACAAGATGGCGTGCTAACATTCTGGATATTGCAGGCCAAGGTCCAGATAAGTTTCTCTATACAAGTTAAAACGGTAATTAGTGAGAAGTCTATTAAATACAACGCCGTATCGCATGTCGAATTTTCTAAAAATTATAATTCTTTTTTTTTCTACAATTTTTATTTTAACTGGATTTATTATTTGCTTATGTATCGTTGCATAGGTAGTTTGTTTATGCCCACGTGGTTTTGCGTCTGTCTTTGCTCTAAGTAAGGGATAAACAAAATCTTTTTATGAAAAAATGTAGAATGTGTCAGAATTGATATAATACGAATTCATATAAGATGGAAGAGAATTCATATGATACTTGCTAAGTTTACTCAAAACAGAATATCAAAAACAGCTATTGGTAACATAAACAAGTGCCACGTTTCAACGGTTAGTCAGAATCGGTATGCACGCTGATGTCACTTGCATGTTTATAATTGTTACTTTATATTTATTTATTGACAAGCAAGCATAATTGTTCTTATTTTGACATATTATGCTAAATACGTATGGTAATACGTCAGCTACAACAGGCAAACATCAGTATGATATAGTTTCTAATTAAGAGTAGACATAATTCAATTCCATTTAAAAATTTGAATCACTGTGTCTATTTGATAAGCTCAGTATATTTCATAAACGAGAAATAAATATATATTTAAGGTTTTAACTCTAACATGTGCTTATAAATTACCTTTCACAATAACTTAGGACTTATAAGCTTGATGTTCGAGCACTGCCGAAATGCCTGACTATCTTGGTCTATACACGAGTGTATTACTTCTGTTATGTTCACTGTACGAGTGTATTACTCCAAAGATTGTGAACAGTTAACAGCGGATTGTAGATCCCTTATTAAATAATAGATACTCGTTCTGCACAAATATAAACAAAAGTATACACAAAAATATACAATTCCTGATATTTATTAAAAACATTATATAGTATACAGAGTGTTTTGTAACGACTTCCTTTAATGTACAATCCTAAAATATTTATAAAAATCGCGTTAAAAATACTTAAAGTTATGAAAAAAATAAATGTTATTAAACTCTGAAGAATCAGTATCGAAGTCAATCAAAAGCAAATGATGGAAAAAACCATTAAAAGCCAGTATAAATGGATTGCTTTCGCCTTACAGTCCACACTCATATAGAGCTCAAAATTTAATGACGTCCTTATTTTTCATCACTTAAATATTAATTTTTGACACATGAGCAATGTTTTCTGATTCCAAAAAATACGTATTAAGAGCAGTCATTACAAGGCACCTTGTGTTTATCGCAGTCTATAAATTGTGAAGAGTATTTAATCATCCTATTATGTCTATTTCATCATCCAATGTCATCTGGATTCATTTTAGACTTTAGCCTCATTAGCATAGGCTCAAATAGCCAACAGAAACCAACAATTACTGACAATCCTCCGGTTATGTAAAACATGCCATCGTACGAACCCACCTCATCTCGAAAATAACCTGAAACAAAACAATAGTTTTAAGAATAAAAACAGAGCAACAACAAATTACAGGTATATGACTTTCATAGAAGGCGTGACTATTTCATTTTGAACAGAAGTCGGTTAACTATTTACCAACTTCATACAAAACGTTAATATGTTTTTTTTAAATATTTATTTCAACTTAAAAAAACCGCCTTCCACACTTATATAGACACTGCTACTTTCCTCATCAGAAAGAAACCAGCAGAACTTCTTAAGATTTGCAACTGGTTAAACAATTTTGTTTACAGAGATTGGGATGAACACTGGACTGTGGTTGTTGAAAACGAAATAGTTAAGGCTCTTTGCGCATCACATATTGCCTACTGCTCAACAACGCTTTGATTCTCATCTCGTATGTAAATGCATTAGGCAACTGCGATGCGTTGTGAGAATTAAGAACTGCTTACTTCGGCATACAGTGAGTTCCAACGAAATAAAGTCACTTCTGTCAAGTCACATATGAAAGCATCAGTCATGTTTATGACTTGAAATACATGATGTTGTGTATCATTTACCGAACCTTGAAGGACATTAGCATCAATATCATGCCAGGTTCCAATGATGGCAACCTTCAATTCTGCCACAAACTGAAACTGTTTCTTTTTTCCCTACTAAGGATAGAACTTACGTTTTCTTAGAGATATAAGGAAATAAAAGGGCAAGCTGTTCATGGAATTCACCTTATTATCCAAACACCAAGACTCTGAAGATCCTGAAACGTAAAGGAGGTAATTATACTGCTGGAAAATCTACCTTGGGGCTCCAATTTACCTTGAAAAGGGCAATAAATGTATTTCTAGAATATTTTGATTATCGGTAGCCTCATACAGCCGGCGGTTGTTTTATGCTTACCACTATATCTGAAGCCTTCCAACACAGTTAATAAGATTCCACCTTGCTGGAAAATGGAGAAGAAATCCTTCTCTTTTCTCATACTATTGTAATAACGCACAAAACTGAATGGACTATCGGAATTCATTTTTCTAGTTTCCTTTGCTTGTAGATAACTTCCAACAAAGACTACTTCTATTTTTTTTTACATGGAAAATACTTTGTGGGACATATAAAACGAAACAGTAGAGCAGAAAAAACGAGAAAATATTCTAAAATTAGACAACAATGTGGAGGCTCTTAAATGCTGTGGGAAGGCTTCGACCATGGTGGCAAACTTAACGGAGCCTTTGGCCTTTCTCCCAAGCCGAATAAAGGTTACCGATTACCAAAAAACGCTATAAGCTCATCAACCGGAATTTGAATCGAGAATCGTCAACCCAAGTCGGATTTTTTAAACAAGAGAATTCCTTAATTTACGCTGCAAAATCGTCATAGTGAGGATTTATGAGCAATAGAGTGCATGTCGTGAATGACCTGTCCTTTCTCGTAATTTCTGTACCGAAGATGAAAAGGTGAAGGCAGTATGAGTAGCAGTTTCAGTCTGTGGTAGAATTCGAGACTGCAATCATTGAAACTTGACGTAATATTGAGGTTTTTGTCCTCCCATGATTAATAAATTGTATGCAACATATTATGTTAGGTAAAAATGTGGTGGATAGTTTGACTATAATAAGAAGTGGCTTGATTTCCATCTGACGCATATTTTTTTCTTGTTGACATATACGGCAATAAGCAGGTGGATGGACTGGCCAAGGAGGGCTGTTACCACGCTAATCCTTCCTCTTCAACACTTACCTTTTTAGAACACCAATCCATAGTTTATTCTGAAATTTCGAAGGGATGAAAGATTTCTCCCTGCCATTACTGGTATGCGGTCAAAGAGCCAGGTTTTTCATTCACCCTCAATTGTGACAGAGCTTCTAAAACTACAATTTCCAGATTAGCAAGCGGTCACAACAATTACTGTCTCTCGTTTTTCGAAGCCAGGAGAATCTTCGAGGTCTGCTCCAAATGTCAAACTGAGCAGGCTTCTCCCGAACACACCCTGAACTGTTTGGGACTTTCCTCAGAGGACATATACTGAACTGTTTGGGACATTTTCTGAGTCAACGGTCTGGTGAACCTTGCGTGGCTTCGTCAGGCATTTGGAGGATAAGCCACAACAACAACAAATTTTTTTTTTACTTACTTGATGTTTTTTTTTCTCCAGATGGAGCGGAAGCAAGTCACACCTTGTAAATATGTGTTTATAAGCTTCATAATATCTATGTTTGGTTCTCATTGCATTTCTTTTCAAGGTGATTATTTATTCGGGACGCAACAATTGTTTTCATTTCGATAGGTTTGTTTTACTTTATTTTAACGAAGGAAGAATTTATATGGATTCAATACCATTACATAAAAAAAAAATATTGGTTTCAAAAAAAATTAATGTTTGATTGATTTCTAAAGATTCGAAATACCCCTTCTTATTTCAAAATTCAGTTTATTTATCGAGAATTAGAAACTTATTGGTCAACCTTCAATTAGATAATCAATTAAGCCTTTCATAGATATTAAATTGTTTTATATCTGCATGTACTTAAAGGCGAAAAACAATTGCTATGATGGTTTCCAGTGATAAAAAGCGTATATTCATATTAATAATATTTAGTTATGGATCGAATACTTTACCTATAACTGGGGGTACAGCAAAGGAGAGTATCCCACTGAAGAACTGAATCGATCCAATCGCAAGAGATTGAACTGATTGCAGGTACTTTCCGACTAAAATTGGAAACATAACTAATGCAGCTCCTGATGTAAGTCCGTACACAATCATCAGTGTCATCAGGATATCAAAACTATAAAAAATGGGAGTAAGTAGGAAGCAGACACCCTGTACCACTTGAAGGAGCATCATGAATTTCGGAATCGACATGTATTTCTTATCTGTCACCCAACCAAAACATAATCTCCCGAACAAATCGCCAAGAGCCAGCATACTAATGAAGTATTTGGCGAGATCCTCCTTCATGCCTTTGTCCATTAAATAGTCAACAATTACTGTTATAGCAGGATCGAAACACATAGCAAAGGCAGCCAGAGATAAGCTGATCATATGGAACATTGGATCACGACAGACTTTGATCATTCCTCTGTAAATGGATGTTTCTTGAACAGCGCCAACTGGTTCAACGGGTATAGTGATACTTACTCTTCCAATTGATATGGTGCGCGTGCGTACCACAGGTCTCTTTGATTCTGCATCAAGTACCTTAAAAAAAACATTTCAGTTACATTTGTTTTGCATAATCATCGTAAAATTTTTAATCGTAATATATTGCTTTAGCCACAAAATCTGATGTTATTAGAAAAAACAAAATGACTAACAATTTTCGCGAAAAAAATTATTATAATACTGCTGTCGCAAACCTTTTAATAAGTACAGAAGAACAGACAAATCTAGCACCATTCGACTGCATGGTATCATTGAAAGTAAGACTTGTTTTAACCCTTTATAAGGCTCTGGGAAGAATACTTCCGCACAACTTCATTAACATTAAAAGGCCAAAGGAATCTGTTTTCTCACCGATGATTTGTGCTGCCATCTTCTGATAACTTCAGAAAATTCAAAAAATAAGAATGAAGGGTTTTATTTTTATAAAAGTGGGAAACAGTTAAGATTAACGTAGGGTCAAGAAGAGAGGCCAACACTGGGGGTGCTATTTTCTTTTGTACGTCATACGTTATTTCATTTGATCATTCTCTTGAGTTATTTGTAATTATAAAAGCAGAATTTATAAATTGTTTACTTATTCGCGTTATTTTTTTTATCATTTAAACACTATTTATTTGGTTGCTTATTATTTAAACAAAAATTCAAGTTTTTAGAAAATTATTTAAAATAAAATTTTAAAAAGTTTTGAAAAATCTTACAAGCCTTCCCTCTAAAAAAATGGTCATAAAAATGGAATTAATTAAATAATTTTAGATAATAAACTAAGCAAATTTCTTTTTATAAATCAAACAATAAGTCCCAAACATATTTTAACCTGACATTAGTAGAAAAAAAAGGCCCTGAAAAAAATGTTAAAAATATTTTTTAAACGTTCAGTGTTCTTGATTTCAAATTATGAAACATTATTTTGTATTCCATTATATGATTTACGTTGAAAAAACAATGCAGAACAAAAAAAAAATCCAACTCAATATTTGCATCATTATGATTAAATTTAAAAGAAAGCACAATGATCTTTAGCAGCCATAGACACAAGATTCTATTCGCCTTTAAGGAATAAATTTTTTTATAGAAGCGTGCTTTATTGTAAAAAAATAAACTCACTAAAGAGCGATTTTTTTCCGATTTAAAATGTAAGTTTTTGTTGATTAAATAATATTAAACAAAGTAAGGATACTGTTAAAATAGTTTATTGCGTAGCCTTATATATTTAACATATACTTACATTTAAAAGAAGCGTAAAATTAATTACTTATTTTCCTTTTAATTTAGACTTAAGTGAATACAGAGTGTATGTCTACTAATGAATTAAACTACGAATTAAGATATAATAAATATAAATTACAAATTAAGAAGATATCAAAGTACCTGTTCAGTACCTGTGGGAATTAAATCTATCTTAGAGGAAAAGTTTTCCACTTCATCAATTTTACTGTTTCGGTTTTCCACTTTCATTTCACTCATTTCAAAACTGGGATTATCGATGCCGCTGTCATTCCGTGAGTTTCCAATATAGGTAGCACTTTTACCAGCTGCATTTGCACCTGATGAAATCGCCATTGGCAACATTTCCTTCACGCCAATTTCAGTTTCAGCTTTGGCAGCGGGTATTGAAGAATTGCCTTCCTCTTGAATACTGTCCATGGTTTTACTTGAGGAAATCTTTTGAGATTTCGAAGGAGGGTTGCTCTGTCGTTTGGTTTTATCTGCCTTTGCAGAAGTTTTTACCTCTCTTTTTATCCAAGGCGGTTCCTGCATCATGATGCCTGCTGGTATGACATGCATCATCATTGCTCCAGTGATTAGGAATGTTCCAGACAAGCCGGACTCCATCAAAGAATATTCTATCATCAATGGAAATACGAAGGATCCGATGCAGGCACCGGAAATAGCCAGTCCAGATGCTGTAGCTCGATATTTGAGAAAGTATTGAGTAACTATAACTTGGAATAAAGTGTTTCCTAATGCAACACCAAGACCTAGGGTAAAAAAAGTTGAATTAGTTCACTTTGAGAACAATTTTATTTATAAATGTACAGACCCCAAATGATTTGACAAATGGGGCTCTTGAATTCAATAATATTCTTAATTCAATACACATTTATAACGATTATATTTAGGCTTATAAACTTTTTTTTAAGTTACTCTAGACTCCTAAACAAACGGTACTAAAAGAACTAATTGTTAAGAACGTTAATTAAATTTGATCAAATTTCATTGTCTTTTTTGCTTTATTTTAAAAAACAGGCTTTAGCAAAAGAAATCATGTTTCTCAATAAATATAACATTTCCAAAGTCATATTTCTATGGATATTTTAATACCTTTAAGAAGAAAAGTTAAGTTGATTGAAAATAAAAAAATGTTGTTTCAAGATTAAAATATTGAGTTTGAATAATGTTCTAATTCTAAAATTAGATTTTAAAGCATTTTTCTCTATGTTGAGTTGGTAATTCTTAGTTATTTATCTCCATTCTATTTAAAAAAAACACACACACAAAAAATAATATTTAATATAAAAGTAACAATTAGCAGTAAAAATAGTTAATTAAATAAGGGTAAATATATTGATACGCTTAAATAGCGAAAAACTATTCGAGTTTTAATAAACTTAACTTTATCAAAAGGTACTTCCCAATAGAAGGAGGATATCATTAAATTTCACTTGAAAAGTAACTTATCGTTGTTTTTTTTTTAATTATGCCTCTGCTTAATTTCAACATATTCTCATCGGATTTAGATAACATATCTGTTTAATTTTTTTTTCTCAAGCTGTCTTTAGTTGTTTTTGCTATCTCCACCGACAAAATATATTTTGGGCATCTTTGTAAAAAATGAAATCAAAATTGCACACAAATCACGGATGATAAATCAATACCCACACAAGCGGAAAAAAAATAATCCTTTACTCCCAATGATTAATCATTATTGAAGTCGAGAAGAGCAATGAAAAGATTAAAATAATCAAAAATCAGCTTTTTACATTGTTGATCAGTTTGCTTACCTATCAGTTTGACACTTATCTTCTGGTATGTATCAACTTTGAGCGTCATTCTCAAATAAACACGAATTTAATTATTTTAATCTTTTATTTTCTCTTATTAACATTAATAATGATTGGTCAGAGTTCAAAAATTCTTTTTCTCAATCAAATGCAATTTGATAATGTGCATATTTTTTACTTCATTTCTGACGAAAATTCCAAAAATATATACGAAGAGTTACAATTACGGAACGCTCATATATTACACACTTCACAACAAGACTCTCTGTGTAATGACAAAGGTTTAATTTTTTTCCATCACAAATGTGTTAGAAAGTTGCATACCATGCATGCCACCCCATAACACAGTAATCCACGTGATGTCGGAGACGAAAGCGCATAACAGAATTCCTAGAGAGGCTGAGACTCCTCCAACTATCGTCACTTCCCGAGGTCCATAACGCTGTCCAATCGCTCCCACCAATGGTCCTGAAATCATAAAAATGTCATGTTCATCAACTGCTTGGAAGTGATAAGTCATGTAATGTAAATGCAGGGTTGTTCATAATTCCCTCCTGGGTTTTGAAGCGTTATAGTAAAAAAACGAAGACGAATATGGCAAAAAGGAACACATGAAATTATTCCGAAAGTATTAAAGTTTTAATTTAAGCAGTTGCCGGTAGATGGCAGTAACATGTACCACTGAAGCCAGTTGAAGTAAAGAAAAATGGCGTTTACAGGTGGAGGGAATTATGAATATAACTGCCTGCCAAATTTTAACTGATGTACAGAATTTAGAAGTAATGCAAGTTTTGAGTACTCAATTTTTTGTAATTTGACTGCTGAAAAGCTTTTTGGAGTAAATACAGTGGCTTGAATAAGTCTCTATCCTGTATATTGTTATTTGATTTGATCATACATTAAAAATAAAGGGAATATTGAAATCATTCGTCTAACAAAATAGCCTTATGTTTGAAATTATATATATATATATATANCTTGAAGTTTCCTTTAAAATTATGAATTAAAGTTTAGAATATAGCCTTTGAAGTTTTTATTATCTTGAAATAACATGAAAACATGATTGTGTAACACAATTTTCTATTGTTGTTGGTGCATTTTTATTGGCTGGGAAAATCACATGGTAGGATCCAGTTTACCCACTTTAATTTCCATGTCCTCTTTTGGCTATCATTGGCTTTAAACTAATAAAAGCCAGCAAGATATTGTCAAGCATGTAATATTTTTGCATTCCTAATTTAAAGCTATTTACTTGCAATATATATTTATCTTATTTTTCTCTGCCATTTTTAAGTTTTTGATTTTGATTATTTTCTAAATTAGGAGTTTAAAACTAAAAGAGTTGTTTCTTTAATATAACGTAATTCTATAAAGTTACCTTGTTGTTGAATATAGTTGCTATATTTTAAAATAAAATTATATAAATCGGTGCTAAACTTATTAACCGTTTTACAATTATTTTCTTGGGTGTAAATTACATTAATATACTGTTATAAATTGCAGTTAATTTATAATATCATAAACAATGATTAAGAATTTAACGATCATATTTAGAGCTTTTTACCGCCAAGATTCCGCACTACATTCCGCATTGTGAAGGGAAGATTAGCTTGAAGTCTAGATATGCCGTAAGTCTCAATGAGGGCTACATAGAACAATCCTGTTGTCCTACTGATGCCGGACAGCATGGTATTGATGACACAAGCGGCCAGGCAAATGGCCCATGACCTGGCACTGTCTGGCTTTTCGTCTTTCACCATTCTTTTTATTTAACCAATGTTTAACAAAGACACATAAATGCTCTGTGCTGAGAAAAAAGAATTACAAAATAATTATTCCATAATTTTATTTTTTACATGGTCTACAGTGAGCAAAATAAGAAAAGTGAACATCTTTAATAACTTTTAATCTAATAATTTTTACGTAATAGGACTTAATCTGAGTAGTTTGATGGCCTCATTTTTAATATGCTAATTAATCAGTGCGGAAGATACTTTAAAAGTGACAAAATCAGACTCAAATACGTATTTTCTCTGAAAAAACATACATCTGTATTTTTCTTGATGGTTTTAAACTTTTGTCACTCAAAATAGAATATACTTAAAATCTTCAGTGAAAAAACCGCAATATGGAAAATATGGTTCCAATAGTTTTAGCCCTTTAATGTCAATTTTACCTTTTGACTGATACTTACTTTTTCAGCTAATTGAAACCTTTTTACCCAAAATTATAGAATTCGTTTAAATAATTATAATTCCTGACAAAAAATTTTTAATAACTATTAATTAATTTTTATTACTTTATTTAAAAATATTCGGAAAAAGTGAATTGTAAGGTATACAATCTTTTACAGCATTTTGAGGATTGTAATATTCAATGACGCAATGCAAAATTTGAACGTAATTGGTATAATAGTTTCTGAATGATCAATTTTTTTTAAAAGTCGTTACTTTGACGTTTTTTAAAATAATTTGATTTAGTACAATAATTTATTTTTGCTAATGGTTTATAATTCAAGCATGAAAGAAAGATGATTTAAAGAAAAAATCTAAGAAAAAATTCAATTTAAATCAACTAGAAAAATAAATAATACTGATCAGAGGGCATCCCTTTTTAAAAATAATTTCAGAACTTGTTAACAATCTATAATTAATATAAAATTTAAACTATTTTATTTAAATTATTTAAATGGTTGAAACATTTTAAAATTAAATTTAATTGCTCGTCTAACATGTAAGATATTTTTCTTACTCTATATTCTTAAAAGGAAATCAAAAGCTAAGAAACGCTAAAAAACTTTGCATACTATTTTTTCAATTCTATTGAAGAATAAGTAGTCTTACCACCCAAAGTTTAATTAACAAAGAGATATATGCGTAATAATATGAACTCACCGTATTCTTTATACCGAGAGCCTTTTCAAATGGTTAAAAACATTTGCTTTTAAAAATTAATAGATTTAAGCCAGCAATATATGCACAATCATAAGCTATCGAAACAATTTAGTCAACACATTCCTTAACCAAATTAGATTCAAAAGAAAAGAATAAATTATAAAATTCATGTAAAACACGGGCGAAGACTTTAAAATATATATGTATATTTTTGAAAATTAACACAATTTGTATTTTATTCCAACCGAAACAAATTATCTTTACTGACCTTCTGAAAAGAGATAAAAAAAAACACTATTTTGTACAAGGAACGTTGGAGTAACGGATTTAGGTTGTCAAGATTATTCTTATTTAAATCAGTTGACAATAAGATTTTCACTGTGGTTCAGAAAACATGACATTTTGAGGTAATAAAGTTTAAATCTTAACCTTGGATCTTGACTACCAACAAAAAAAAATTAATGTTTTTTTCTCTAACTGCTGTGCTGTGGAAGAAAAAGCTGAGTAGACTTAATGCGGAATCCGTACCAGAAAATTATGCAGTAAATTATCTTAAATTTCTCTGAACACGGTTGAAATTGCTCAGTCAACTATCTTAAATAACTCTGAACGCTATTAAAGTTACGCAGTGAACTATCTTCAGTAACTCTGAGCACTGTAAACCCCTTAACAACACAGNTTCATTTTCAATAAAACGGTCATAAAAGAGAATTTTTTTTTATCATATCACAAATATGCGTATTTGATTAGTGCTGATATCTAGTTTAAAATAAACTAACTATCTACAATTACCTTAAAAATATCTTAGTACTGCCATCTGGTGTGAAAAATGAGAAATAAAATGTTTTCCGGGCAAAAGAAATGAATTAGTTTTATTCTTATTGGCGCGTAACTACTGAACATTCCAGTTCGGAAATATGACGGGAGCGAGAAATAGATGGCAAAACCTCACCCCGTCATTTTCACGGGAGCGAAAAGGAAGGGGTTAATATTATGCTGCACAGCGATTTATCTTAAATAACTCTGAACACTGTCAAAATTACTCCTTAACGACAATTCCATTATTGAAATTTTATTTTCGTTGAATGAATTAAGTTGTAGTTAGGAAGCTGAGCTTACACCGGAAAGTTCCCGGATAGGAACCCCGGAGAAGGCATTGATGTTCTTTCATTCTCTGTGCTATCTGTCCTTACTGTGGGAGCAACGCTGGCCCACCTCATATGGTACCTCTGAAAGAGTGACCTACAAATCTGCCCTACTGGTGTCTGAATGACGTCAGTCTCAGACTTAATTATTTAAGATCATGTCAATCTAGTATTTCAGTTTCAATCTAGTGGGCATTGGAAAAAAGTGAATGAAATAAATTTCTGATTTACATGAAAATCAAACTTCACTTAAAAAGGCTTCAAAATTTAGAAAAATCTAAAATTTTTAAGTTTGATGTTTAACGATTCTGAATTAATAGTTTCTGATGGCATAATGATATGACGTTTCTTTATGCGCATAAATAAATATGCGGTGAAATTTTTAAGTCTCTCTGTGAAAAAAATAAATTAAGGGGATAAAATTAGCTTGCTTTTTTTATTTTCTACCTTTTCTTATTTACTTCTCTTATTTTAGAATTAAAAGAATTAATTTATAGAATTTATAAGCGACGCTGCCCCCACCACTATTTTGAATATTCAGCTTTACGTTACATTTTATTTTACAGCGCAAAAACGGTAAGACTTAGAAATTAGAAATTAGGAAGGTGGGTAAAATCGTAAAGAGGGAGTACAATGGAATAAAAAAAAATTAGCATTCAATAATTACTCCAAGAAATATTAACTGTTGAAATTGCAGTAAAAACTACAATGCAGGCCACTCTGCAGCCCGCTAATATGCAACTACTGAAGGGAAATTCGATATGCTAAAAGAGTTATTTATGAACTCAATATAAGTTTTTTTCTTCCAATTGTTCAAAAGTCATTACTATTTTAAGTGTTTCTTCGTAAAATTTTCTCAGTTTTTTTTATTTAAACATTGACTATTATGAACTATTAATTCAATCTTATAGATTGATTTATTTTTCTTTCACGAGGTCTTTATTTTATAAGCTCGCGCTTGACTTGATGCTAAAAGTAGGGGAGAGTGGGGTCGATTGTAACATGGCAAAAATTTCGAGTGTCGGGTTCTAGATTTGGTTCCTAGGTGGCGCACAAGGTGTATTTAATAAATCTACATGTACACCCCTGCTGGCAACCATTTTTATGTATTTTTGAAAGAGTTACATTTCAAAAGATATTTTCACGCTACGTAAGTACATTTTTTGGTATTAGAATATTATATTGCAACAAAGTAATTTTGTTTAAACAAATAAAAATTATCAACCGAATATGTAAGTGGGCACCTAAATTAACATTTAAAAAAAAAGATTAGTTTTGTTAATTAACTAGCATTGTTTTTAACAAATGAAGCTGAAATGGCGTCTTGGGGACGATTGTAACAATAAGTAAAGGGACGATTGTAACAGCTGAAAATAAATAATCTTATGTTTACAAACCATTACTTAACTCTTTAAGAACCACCAATAGTTTCCTATATCATTTATATTATGTTGCATGTGCATTATTTTATTTGTCACCTTTCACAGCATAAATTAAAATTTTTAACCCCTTAAAGTTAAAAGTTTAACCCTTTAGGTCTCTGCTCATTATTATTTTTACTCCTAAAATATCACTACTATTTTGATCAATAAAAAAATATATCACAACTATGATAATATGTATAATTAACTATGTTTTAGTTGAATTTATGAACTGTTACAATTGACCCCGTAAGTGGGGACAATTGTAACAAGTGCACGACTGTCAAAAATTGTTAATAACTAATATAATAATATTTAAAATCAGGTATGTATTTTTTTTCTTGTAGAGGATAGTCTACTTTACTCGTCTGTCAATTAATACTAATAATTTATTGGATTTTTTGTTAGTTAAAAATAGTTAAGTAAGAAATGTTACAATTGACCCCACTCTCCCCTATTAAAAAAAAAGAAAAGAAAAAGAGGAGGAGAAGAGATTAGATGTTAAACGATATAAATCTTACCATTCGTATTGAAATTTTCTAAAATAAAGAAAAAACTGAATTCATTTTTGTTTTTAAAACAGTAAACGCTTAAAACTATTCGCCAGAAAGATGCACTTACGTCGCATTTTTTATAGGATATTTCAATTAAGTTAATTTAAACAATTATCAGTTGTTTCATCTGCTTATTGACTTCGATGATTGCAAGACATTGATGCATAAAAAAAGAATTGATGTATTTTTAACTTACTTAATCTGCCGACAAGGATCTATATAGCTTGCACGAGAATTATCGATTCATTTCTGAATGCACTAGAATTTATCGATTCACGATTCTGCAGCAGGTTAAAGAAAATGTAACGATTTTCTCATTAGAGTCTTTTAACTTTAATTAAAGGAATAAATTGATCCAAACTACACGATTTAATCTGACTGAAGACAGGACTGTGTAGAACAACGTAAATAAAATTCAAATAGTTGCATAAAATTGAATATTAATGTCCATTTTTGAGTCATTATTTGAGCAGCTTATTCACTTTCACGTTTTATTCTATATGTTTTTAGTAAAAGCAGTTATAAATATTTCAGAACAATTAATTGTTTTAGAAAAAATTAAACCAAATTATGCGATTTTAGTTCACATATTTATAAGAATTTATGAACAGTTTATTATTATTATATATGATTCCATTTAAAATAAAACGTTATGGATGACACACTGAAAATTGAATTTATAAGGATAACGAAAGCTTTTAACGTGTTTTAGGCCAGGCGGTTTAGGCGGTTTTAGGCGGTCATAAAACATATTTAGTCATTACAAGTATGTATCTAAATGTATTTAAATACTGTCTTACGTATTTAAATGTATCTAAAGAACTTATGTATGACTATGTAATAATAATAATTATTATTAATATTATTATTGTTGTTGTTATTATAAATGACTTATGTACCTTTATATATCGATCGAATGCAAATTTTGCTGCAATCTTAATAAGGTGTTACCTTAAACGGTTTCCGGTCAAATTGAATTTATCGCGCTATCAACACGGAGAAAAGAAATTCTGGTAAAATTCCGTTATTGTATGGTAATTACATCTAGAGTTTAAAAGAAAAACGTAATTCTGGTAATAAAATCAAAATATATGGTGTTTATAAACTGATTCATTTTGGTACTTTTTCTATTTATATGGTAACAGTTTACCGAAAATTCTAGTCTTTACAATTATAGTTCTTATTACTACACATTTAGTATAAAATACTAAACAGAAGGGTAAGTTTAACAGAATAACTGGTTTTTATGCCATGCTCCAGATCAGGGGTTTCCAACTTACATGAGGCTGGGGGCCACAATTAAAAACACCAGTCAAATGGCGGGCAGCAAATGTGCCAAAATTTTATATCTCTTATGTTTGAAGGAACATTAAATACTACTGTCAGATTTTTATCAAATTGCTCAAAACAAAAGTATTGAATTGCAAATAATAATAAATATTTTCATGGAAAAATACCTGAGAAAGAATTTTTTTTGCATAAAATTTTTATGTTAAATTTCACAGAAACGAAGAAATCAGTTTTTTTTTTTGTTTTTTTTTTTAACGAAAGAAAAATATTTTAAACTCATATAGATTTTTTACGAAAATTGTCCATAAAAAATGTCAACTAATATATTTTAGTTCGCAGGTCACAAAAAAAAGCTTCGCGGGCCGCCAATTGGTAACCACTGCTTTAAAGTATTATTCTAAAATTACAAAATTTTGCCTCATTTACTAAATTTCATCACAGATTATAAGACTAAATTTTATGGTTTATTCAACTAAAATCTCTACAAAGCTCTTCGGTAAAAATTACCGATTTCGTTGGTGTTCTCATAGAGCCAGAAATAAGGTTAATTTAACGATATTCTGGTAGTTGTGTGACCATATATTTTTTCAGTTAAAGAAATACGATAATATGATTTAACTTGATATCATATTATGGTAGCAGCAAATTTAACCGATTTAATGTTTCAAAAATTTTAACAAATTTCAAACGAAATATTATAGATGAATTAATTATTTTGTTCTCCTCACAAAAAGTAAAAAGTGATATAGTTTATAAAAATTATGAGTATAATACAGAAATAAGTTTAAATTTAAAATAAATAGTTAAGCATATAAACTTTAAAATTGTAATTGTTCTTAATTTTTCAGCACTTTTATATTCACCGAATTTTTAGTGAAAAAAATCAGTTGGGTGAAGATTACGTTCCTTTTAATGGAACAAAAATTTTTATAACTTTACTTACCTTACAAATTTTCCACATAATCCTTAATAGATTTTCCCGAAATTTTTTCTAAAACCTTTTTTCTTCAAAACAAAATACATTTTTCACTTCCATGAAATACAAAAACAAGCTTCTTAAACAGAAATGCAAATACCATGCTTTCCCTTTAATCAAAGCTTAAGAATACGAAATTTCCTGCATATCGCTTTTCTCTTTCATTACATTTAACTCATTAAGTTAGTTTGATTAATGGGAAACTTAATGTCATATAATTTCTAATTTTCTTTGCAATCAATTGCTGCTCTCAATGAATGTTGAAATTGCAATTATCTTAATCAATGGTAAGGAATTGTTTCGATAAATGATCAATGCTTTAATTTAAATAATGAGACATTTATGCATCTCAATTTTGTCATAAAATTTAATTGGAGCATTCTTTAACTAGGTTATCGAAATCATTGAATAAGTCGAATCTGATTTCTCCAATGCTTAAAAGGCAAGTAAATATTGCATTCTAATTTTAAAAAGCATGATTAAGATTAACTCACACAATTTTAAAAACATACAAAATTTTAAAACTGTATCTTGAAAAAATTCTTAAAAAAATTATAATGAAGAGTTTTTTTTTTTAGATTTGAACTCGTAAAATATATAAAAAAAGAACTTCTTTAGATTGTGATAAACATTCAAAATTTTTAACTAATACTGTAACTAACTAATGCTGTAACCTAATTTGTATTTTTATAAATGCATATGTATTCCCTAATTTATTCTGACCATCTTATAAATATGATTTTCTTAAACACTATTAAAAAATAAAAACAAACTGTTCCAATCAAAAGATTTTATAAATTACATATATTAAACATTCTCCCATTTTAAAATTCTTATATTGTTTTGCACGAAATGAGACAAACAAAATTATATATTAGAATATAAATAACTGAAAAGTTATATTTTTAAGTTTACCTGAAATTTAACATCATTTCCGCCATCTATGTCAGAAACACGTCTTCCAAAGTTAATTTCAAACGGTGTTTTAATTTATTCAGTATTTTATTTTCCTACAGCTTATCGTTGTACATATGATTAGGTAAAGCCAAGAAAAATTGCGCACATGGAGTTACTCGTATAATAGCAGTTCTGGAGTGTCTACTTAATTAATTCAGTTGAATAGTTACCAGCGTCAAGTAATGAACATGCTAATACATACTAATAGTGACGAACATACTAATGAGCATAGTAGAAACATAGCTTTTGTTTTCCCAAATCAAGTGCCTGAAATTTTATCGTTCTTGTCTATTTTTTATAGGAGGCCAGTAAAAGTTAAAATTGTGAGCACGCTCCTATCTCTATCATATACCTATTTCTACCAAACATTCCTTTGACTCCTTAATAGATTAAAACAGTATCTTACAACGATGTCTTATTTAAAATAATTTTAAACATAAATAATATTAATGATTTTAAACTCCATTTTTAGCTCAGTGTCGATAACAAGCACATCAGAGAATTTTCATTTTAGTGGTATAGGAAAATGCAGAAGCATTTTATAATTTTGATACTAGCTTGCTTTACGCCTAATTGCTTTTTAGCGCAGATAATTGCATAGACTAGTTCTAAAAAATGAATAACGCTTCCGCTCAACAGCAAAACGCAATAAGAAATGCAATGCTCAAACCATCGATACTTAGGTGGCAATTTGAAATTCTTAGAGTTTCGGCAATTCTTTGCATTGAGCTGTGGCGGCTCAGTAGATAGAGTGTTCGCCTCCCAATAAGGTGAACCGGGTTCGAATCCCAGCGATGGCTGGTAGATATGAATTCCGCACTTGGCTCGCATCGACCACAGTGCTGACGTAAAATATCCTTCGTAGTAGATGGATCATGGGTGAGAGTCTCCTTGCCGTCACGTTAACCATAGTAGGTTTTCGTGGTTTTCTTCTACATCTAACGCAAATGCGGGTTAGTACCATCTAAAAGTCCTCCACGAATGCGAATTTCTCCAAATACTTGATCCAGAAGTTCCCTTGTCTTTTGGATTAGGTTCAAAATTACAAGATTACGGAGCTGAAATTAGAAGTCGTAAACTCATAAATTGGGTCGGCTGCTCAACGACGTTTATAAAATATAAAATAAAATTTCATGCAATGAGCCGCGGTGGCTCAGGGGATAGAGTGTTTACTTCCCAATTAGGTGTAGCGGGTTCGAATCCCTGCAGTGGCTAGTCAATATGAATAGCACTCGATTCGCACCGACCACAGTACTGACGTAAAAGTATCCTCAGTAGTAGACGGATCATAGGTAAGAGTCCCCTTGCGATCAGGCTAACCGAGGGAGGTTTCCATGTAACGTAAATTCCAGTTATTTCCATAAAAAAAGTCTTCCACGAAGGCTAATTTCTCCCAATATTTGATATCCAGCGATCTCCTTTTCTTCTGGATTGGATTCAAAATTACAAGGCTGAGAAGTTGAACGTTACTAGTTGTGAACTCAAATTCGGGTCTGTTGCTTAACGACGGTTATAAAATATTTAAAAACTATTTGCATTAAAAGCAGTAAAATATTCTATAGCAAGCACGATAGGACGAAACATATATTTATTTTTCTTATTGTCAGTCTGTCTGACATTCATAAAGACGTTTTGCTTTTAATGCAAAATAAATTCAAATTTGGTTCTGATTCGAGTATATCTACTAATCGACGAAATTGTTAATACTTTATTGATACAATTGAAATTACATTGCTACTTTATTTGGTAACAGGAAATAGGAAGTACTATTGAGAAATACACCATGAAATAAAAAAAGGGAAATGTAAGGAATGCAGTTAGTTTTATTGTCGTTACATTGATAAATGCATTACAGTTACATTACAGATACATCAATATTACAAAATAGATATACGTTAATATTTTAGAATACAGATACATATCTAATGATATCATTATTTCTAATCATTATCATTGAATTTCCCGCCATAATGAATCAAATACAAGACGAGATAAATTAGTTTATTATAACGTTTCTAATAATTATTGCCCGTGTAAAATCTTGGTAATCAAATATTTAATTACATTTTCATGAGTTATTATTTCTTATCATTCATGTTATCGTCCTCTTAATTTTTCTTGACGAAAATGCTCGTATAAATGATGCAAGAGGAAAAGAAAATAAGTTTTACTTTTCTGAGTGTTACTATTACATACAAGCAGAAAATTTCGTTTTTATTAAGAAATTAGTATTTATTATCTGTGAATCGTAACAAAATGATTGATGATAGCCTTCTATTTTTATCGCGTTAGTCATTAGTTTTTTATTTCTTCATTATTTTATTTTTACTTTGATGGTTAAAACACAAAACTGCAAAATCTCTCTAGCATCTGTAAAAAAAACCCGCTTTTTTTGTATATGTCAGAGGCAGAACAAATAATCGAAAATTAATTTTTAATTAATCTGAAAGTTTTTTTTAACCCTTCTTAGTCTACAGTAAATTGGGTAATAAATCGTTATATCGTAAAATATCGATATTTTTAAAGCACTACGATATTTTAAACACATTCCCCAAATTTACATAGAGTATCAAGTTTTATTTAAATATCGAATAGAGCATAATTATCGACATCTATAAATATCGGAAATGATTATATGGCGAGTATCGTTAATGAAAATTATGGAAACCGATATTATCGGGATTGCAGATAAGTTTTCAGTAAGGCAAATATTGACCGATGTATTCGAGAAGGAAAAACGAGTGGCAGGCTAAAAAATATCAATACACTTTAAACTTTAAAAAAAAATATTAGTCTAAGAAGTACCGAGCAAGAATTTATCAGGTAATAGCATTTTAGGGAAAACTGGACAAGTGGAAACCGGGTATTAAAATCTAGGAAGATCCGGTTATTACTAAAAATGGTGATTACTAAAACTTCATACCTTTCTTTCAAAAGAAAAGAAATCTATTTCTTGCATGGAGAAATTATTTTCAACTGATACTAATACGTCATACATAATTATACTAATTAAAGTATGAAATATTTATATTTCATGCTTCCTTATCAGCTATATGTCATACAATTCCTAGGCAATAAGTGGAATGTTTAATTATTTCATACACTGTTGGTAGATTTTCGTTATTCTATACAAAGTCTGACTTTTAACTTTGCCTATAACACTTAATTTTAAACACGAAAATTATTTAAATGACCAATTTTCACGCATTAATAATGTTAATAAATATTCATTTTCCAGTGCATCACAGAACAGGAGATATCCTGATGAAATTGAAATCTTTATGAAGGTAAACATGATTTAGTTAACTCGCTATCTATAAGTAGCAGAATGGCAGTTCTTCATCACCTTAATTTTTCGTCATCTTTTTTAACTTCAACGTTTTTGAAATAGTTTTTATGTAAGATTTCTTGAGTGTTTTCTTTGAAGTAAGTTTTAACCAGGAAAGGTTCGAGTAGCCATAATCCTCCTGTAAGGATAGCTATTCCACCATTCAGGAAAAACATTCCATCGTAAGAACCCACAGTGTCCCTAAAATGCCCTGAAAATGTAATAAAATTTATAAATATGCATGGTGTTTCCTAATCACTGCTCTTAACGTAATAGTTTTTACTGAGTGCTCAGTAATTACTGCTCTTTATATATAGGAGAAAAATGAGTGAATGTGAACTGTTGGAATAATCCTGTTACATAACAGTTAAAAATTTCCTTAAAAGATTAGCAAAGTTGTGTTACACTTTCATGCGAAGTTGAGTAAATAGCAAATGATAAAACATGGTTTTTATGTTGAAAAAGCACCTTATTAATTGGTTTTCGATTTTTCTACTTTTGATTAATAAGAAATATTATGTTATAAATGAATATGTTTAAAATCTGGTTTATATTAACTTTTAAATCGCATTTTTGTTTTCAAGTTTAGAGGGATAAATGGCTCTATTGGGTTTAGGGGAGCTGAAAGAAGGGTGTTAATGTAGGAGAAGATAAGCTAAACATTAGAATTTTTATTTTTATTTTTTCTTAATATAAAAAAATATCATTTTATCAATTAACTGTATTTTTGGCTTTGATTTTACAAATCAATATTAAATATCAGTTGAGAGGCTATCTCCATTGATTATGGGCATGGGAGCGATCCATTCAAAGACAAAAAGAATTTCGTAAATACACATTTCCCAACAGCTATAAAAAATGGTAAAATTCTATAGTTAATTATCATTCTGATTAAAAAAAAAACGTTATGAAAAGTTAAATTTTTCATACACAAAATAAATTGAATTTTATAAATAAAGATATTTTATGTGGGTTACAATACCTTACAATAAGAAAATAACTATAACCTAATAAGTGAAGAGTTCATAAAAAACCTACACTATCATAGTATACTCGACATGGATATGATCAAGCTAAAACCATGTGTTCACACTATCTCCAACCTGGATAGTTTGAGTAAGATTTTTTTAATACTTGAAATCAAATTAAATAATTAATTTTAAGTCTTGTTTATGCTAACTCGTTGTCAAAATATGGGATTAGTGTGGATGAAAATACCTTGTATAAAGAACAATTTGTTACAAAATATATAGTTTGTGTTTAACCAATTAGTAAGCCAAGTTGTGTATCAATTAGTTGCATACGAAAATAATTAGTGGAAGACTGAAAATAGTTTCAACAATTGTGTCATAGGACCAGTGTAAGTTAATGCGACGTTTATTCGCTCGCCCCAGGTGAGCTTTAGCCACTTTCTTAAATCTAATTAAGCATTACTATCTAGACAACTGAGGAATTTTTCTTCATTTATTTTTTTTTACTCTCAAAAACAAGTGGAAAGAACACATAGTTAAGAAGTTAAAAGGTAATTATAAGTTACAAAGTAAGTTTAAGCACCTTTTTATGCGTATGAAATCCCTCTATACCTCACTATATATAAATTGTTAATAC